CCCGTCTACCGAGGGGCCAAAGCTGCTGGTGATTGACTTTGGCTCTTAGCATTTGTTTCTTATTTAAAATAAAAAAAAAAATGCATTCCCAGATTACTCCTTTTTATGTAGTTATAATTTTTCAATTATATTCCATTTTTTTCTGCTCTATGCCTTTTTGCTTTGTCATAAAATGTCATTATGGTAAAAACATGGAAGTTTTCAGTGTTAGAAAATCTAGCACATATGAAAAGCAGTTCATGCAGCAAATAGTCATTGTAGAGCAAAACTTTCTGAACTATTAAAAATAGGGAAACTTAGGACTTTATTGTACTCAGTATAAGTAATTAAACTCACTTAAGAGGATTAGCCATATATTTGAAGCAAACACACACACACACACACACACACACACACACACTTTCTTTGTGCATGTATTAGTCTGCTGGAGCTGCCATAGCTAAATACCTCGGACTGGGTGGCATGAACAACACACCCTTGACTATCTCCCAGTTCTGCAGGCTAGAAGTCCAAGCAGAGGCCTCTCTCCTTGGCTTGCAGAAGTCTATCTTCTCACTGTGTCTTCACGTGGCCTTTCCTCTGTGCACGTGCCCCTGGTGTCTCTTCGTGTGTCCAAATTCCCTTTTCTTTTAAGGACAGCAGCCAGATTGGATTAGGGCCCAACCTAACGGCCCCATTTTAACTTAATCACCTATTTGAAGGCCCTATCTCCAAATACGGCCACATTCTGAGGTACTGGCTTAGGGTTTTAACATGTGGATTTTGGAGAGGCACAGTTCAGCCCATAACAGTGTATGACATGTAACGATATTAATGCCGTGAGTGATGTGACCCTCTAGGGTGAAATTTAAATGAAAAGATTTGCAGGTTTCCTATGTGCCTCCATTGTGTTCTCATTCCTGATATTCACAAAACGCAGAGTCGAAAGAGTTTCCCGTGCTGTGCTTCTGTTCTGGCAGGCCTGGCAGCTGCGATTCAGCCACCTCGTGGGCTATGGTGCCAAATACTACTCTTACCTGATGTCCAGGGCCGTGGCTTCCATGGTGTGGAAGGAATGCTTTCTACAGGACCCGTTTAACAGGTAAGAAGCAGAGGAAGTTTATGAAACACACACTCCTTCAGCCGCAGTAATCCCCCACCCTGCTGCAGCCGAAGTCAGGCTCGGAAAGCATCAGCCCTGAGAGCAGAGCTGAGCCTGGCGGGAAGAGGCAGTGTCCTCACCCAGCCCAGGCTGCTCTCCGCCTCCCTCCGCACCAGCCCGCGCCTGCTTCCTGGGGCTGACCTTGGCCCGGAATGTCCACCTTCCCCTTCGCTGTGGTACCGTGGTGGTGATCACGTGGTGCCCTCTGGAATGCCCGTGGGGACCCTCGTGTGAGGGCTCTTGCTTCTGTACAAAGCGGTCCATGCCTCTCCTGTGGGTTTTCTTTGTTTTTCCAGCCATTCTTGTTGTCAGTTCCTACTGCTCTCTGCTTCCTGTTATTTTTGACAGGCTGCCTTACTTTCCGCACAAGCATTTGAAGTTTCCCTCGTGTGGACACCTTCTTTCCTCTTTATTGCCCAAAAGACTTACTACTGTTTCTCATTTGGGACTAGCAGTGTTGGAAACTTTGTTGGCATTAACACTTAGTCCGTTTCTGGAAAGTGACCCCTCTGCCGGACTTTTGGAGCACTTTTTTTCCCAAGTGAGGTGTCTTGGTAGAAACGAGTGGTAATGTGGAGAGGAGGTGCTCCACCGACCGTTCCTGGCACAGCTCCCCTTCATTGTGGCCACTCGCTGCAGATTGGATAGTGAGGTGGCTACAGACTCCTCCCTCCATCGTTTTCTGCTGCCTCGCCTCTTATGTGCCTTCCCAGGCAGCCTGGCTCCGCGTTTCCATCACCAGGATAACCCGTGGTTAAGACAACAGAGTTTCCAGCTTTTCCTATAGAAAGCTAACTAAAATGTTTGTGTGGTGGCTCCCTGGTCCTCTACCAAGTGCATATTTCGTCAAATTAGCCAGTGACTGTGGCAAGCCTTTAATGATTCAAAGAGGAAATCTGGGCTAGGTAAATTTCAGTTATGGATGCAGGATGTCCTCACCCTTCCCGAGTGGAGGCAAGACATGGCCTTGGAGGAGTGGGAGGGTGGCCCAGGATAGTAGTCCAGTCTCCCTGCTCTCTTGGTAAAGCCATGTAGTAGTGAGACTTCCATTGGGTGGAGAGATGCAGGGGTCTCACGTTGGGTGGAGAGGTGCAGGGAGCTCACGTTGGGTGGAGAGGTGCAGGGAGCTCACGTTGGATGGAGAGGTGCAGGGATCCCATGTTGGGTAGAGAGGTGCAGGGATCCCTTGTTGGGTGGAGAGGTTCAGGGATCCCATGTTGGGTGGAGAGGTACAGGGATCCCTTGTTGGGTGGAGAGGTGCAGGGGTCCCTTGTTGGGTGGAGAGGTGCAGGG